CCCGAAACGATCCCCTTCAGAGAGACAGAGTGGGAAGAGGAAGCATAATTGAGAGAGTAAAATTGGGGTTGCCACTTTCTTCAAGTGCCCAAGATAGTCAGAAGTGCCGAAGTGCTGCCAGAAATGTGACTGATTGGTAATTGTCCTTTTCTATGGAGGGAGTTGTAGGGGAAACAAAAGAGTGGCATCGAGTTTAAAAAGATTTTCACAGTTTTTTTCTGGCAGGCAGAAAAAGATGTTCATCAATTCATGTTGTGATAATTGGAGACAGTTCTTGACTAATTCTGAGCAATGGCGACAATGGGGACTTTAAATCCACTGTTTCCTATTGAAATGTCTTTTCTATCCTTCTCAATGCCCTCTCCTCTTTTCTCATAATGTGATATTTCACATTTTCTTCCATCTCATCTGCCAAAACTTTCTCTTACATTTTCTGCCTTTGTAAATCCCTTTAGCTATTAGCATTCCGGTAAAAGATTCTCACAAATCAATAGGGATCATCACGGGTGTGCTTCAACCACTAAAGATCACGAACTCACATCAGGAATCACAAGAATCCCAAATATCCTGTATGAGGAACAGATTTATCGCTCTTCCAAGAGTACAATTCTGGACAAAAGACTGAATCCTTGTTGAACAGACACATTTAAATATGTGAGAGATAAACGCAAAAGTTGGCTTTCATCAGCTGCAATCTTAACGGCTGTATGGGACTATTTTGATATTATACTTATCTTTCTTTATAGTACTTTTTCAAGCACAAAGTAAACAAACGTTCTGGTTTCAGAAAATGTGACAATTTACAGATTTATTTTCTCATATGTGAAAGCATATCAAAACAATGTATCTGTGGACTGTTGGTTAGACAAAACAAGCATATTGAAGACAGCTTGGTGGGCTCTGAGAAATAGTGAATCCCATTTATTTTCAGTTGTTTTTTCAAGCTATAGTCTAAGCAATTTGCACAAAAAACAATCTGCAGATACAAACAATTGTAGCTTTATTTACCAGTGCTAGAAAAATACTTCTATCAACCTGCAACAGCCCGTTTCCAATCATCGCCGCTCTCTACAGTTGTTGCTGGGTTTTTTCAAAATCTCTTCTCTCCGACATCTGAGATCGAACCCACGATCTCAACATTGACAGCCTCTCGATTGAAGTGAGGCGAGCCGAGCTTTTATCTGGCCTGTAGATTAAAGAAACGATGTATCAGCGACTACACCAGACTTACAGTATCTGTCGGTTCTCTATCAAAGGGGTGTTAAGGCCAAACTCGGGGTGGACCTATTGATCTGTTGTTTGGGAGAGGCCTCTGTATGACTGGACCTATGGATGCTGTCGAGAGGAGACTAAGGGCTCCATCAATACCTTTCTCTCTCATCCCCGCCTCTCTTTCTACTCCTTTACACGTTCTGTCTCTCACCTTAGTTACTCCTAATCCTCACATGTGGGACTGCTTAGATAATCTCATTTGAAATGCAAATTCAAAACCACCAAAGATTACATATTGATACTTGGAAAGCTTCTTTCTTGTGAATGCTTGAAGAAGCTATTTCCCACAATGGCCACACAATGCCCCAACATGTATAACGGCCTATGTCATTTGATGCTTATTGTGCACATTACGAAAAAGACCCAAGTGATAATAAACCAGAATTAAAGTCTTTATAATTTAACACATTTGAAACGTTAAACACAGCAGATCCCATAGTCTATTGGTCCCCGAGATGTCGGCCCCAAGAAGCTCTAAGGTCCAAAATCATTAAATATATCGTAAATGTCGAATATTTATTTATGTAAAGAAGAGCAAAGAAAAGGCCCTGAAGGCATTTCTCGATTGATTATTTTTTACCAATCTTCCCCTTCGAGTAACTGTCGGTACGTTTATTCACCTGCCATGTATTTCGAAAGTGCCTACACTATAACAAAACCATCTGGCATTCATTTAATATTAAACAATTGTCAAGAATGGAAAATACAACAGGTACATCTACCTGCAGAATGTGGACCTAGCTACAACCTGTGTATGACTTTAGGAAACATGAAGCGTGGTGTTTTTGATGGATTTAATGTGCCACTTTTCTCCATTTAATTGTTACACCATTATGTTTGAAAAAGGCCACACTTTCACCTCATGTAGTGGGGTCACAACCTAGCAACAGTGGATCAGAGGCATAGCAACAGCAGCTGCAGAGTCGGTCCAGCTATGCAGTATAATTGGACCTTTTGACTCAGTGCCGGAGGATCGACACGCTAACAAATACGGACACTTCATCCCAAGGACTCATGTAGCACACAGCCCTGCCTGTGCTTTACAAAGTGTGCATGTTTGTAAGAAAGAAAAATAATGTGGTTTATTTAAACAGAGTGTGTTAAGCACCATCATATCAGAATTCATTGACAACCAGTCTAGTCGGATGTACTTTAAAGTGAAAGGTTAACATCGAGGTGATACATTTAGAGAAAGAACATTGACCTCACCCTGATGGAGATGAAGAAGTACAGCATAGGGGATACATCACCAATTGGAAGTATAAATGGACTGATTATAGCAAGATGATGCAGTTAGAGAGAGAAACAGCAAGGAGGTCCTGGGTGTGGACTGATTTGAGATGGCATAATGGACGGGGCTACAGAGTGCATGAGACAATAAATGGAGAGATGAAAGAAGGAAAGACGAACTTACAGTTAGGGGGATAAGTAAAGAGATACCAAACATTATTATGATGTGTGTACTGAACAAAGACGGATTGGATGTAATTTAATCTCCTCTAATGAAAGGAGGGGAGACTGAAGTGCACTGAGAAATCTCCATATATCAATTATTCTTTTTTGTAAATGAGCCCTTAAGGCCTTGTTTTCCAAATGCAAGCTAATAGAAATCTGCCAGTGAAGGAAGATCATTGCAACTTGTGTCCTATAAAAATAATGTTGTTTACTTTGATATTATAGACATTTGCGAAAAAATGTTGAGGAGAATATGGTGAGATGTTTTTATTTGTGTAAAGGGACCATTAATGACAGCAAGAGGTGACAAAATGTTTATGATAAAGCATTCACAACCACTGGATTTTAGTATTCATCAACTAAACCTAAAACTAGCCGACTAGTTTATTAAACACTGGAAATATACATATTTTCTTTTTCAACAAGGAAAGATAATTGTGTTTTGTTGAAAAGGTCTCAAATACAACCAGCTTTTGTGGGGAAACATGAACAAGTAAGGTGTGGACTTATGTTGTGTTTAAGGAAAATAGAACAGGGCCTTGGATGGATCCCTGAGGAACCCCACATAAGATACCAGATGAAGTCGACGAAAAATAAATGAGGGTTACCCCTCGATTCCACCGGGTCCGTCTGCGTCGCGTCACAGCTGCGCCGCGGTTTTGGTCCGGCCTCCTCCGGCGTCATACCCTACCGGGCGCGTTTGAGGAGCATTTCAGAAGCGGAGCGTCTTGCGTGGCGGCTCGCAGTTTTTGTTGATTTGGGCATATTTCCTGGACAGGCTACTTTGTACAGACAAAGTTAATAATAATTGTAATATTCCAGTTATAAACGACATGAATCAAAGATGTGTAGCTGTATTTTAGTGATAAAAAAATGCATTCATCATCATAATTATTCTATATATATATAATTTACACAGTGCCTGTAAACCAGAGGAGAACGCTGGCATTTCTCCTCCTACTTGAAAGACTACGGAGGGATAGGGTCTGCAAAATTAGTTTATTTTGGGGATTGACAGAATGCTCTGACCGGTCCACTTCCTGCCCGGCGCCTCTGCAACGCCTCGCGTCGCGTCGAAAAATAGACATGCATCCTATTTTGAGCGGAGCCCAGCGCCGAGATGCTTCTGGGACGCTTCTGAGCCGTAACGCGGCACGTCTGGTGGAATAGCACCCATTGACTAGAGTGGCCGCGATCTTTGCGAACGCCGCAGCGCAGCCGTAACGCGGCCGTAACGCGGCCGTAACGCGGCCGTAACGCGGCCGTAACGCGGCGCAGACGGACCCGGTGGAATCTAGGGGTTAGATATACAGTTCTTAAGGAAACAAGGTCCAGAAGAAGCAACATAGTGCCTGCTTCCAGTGTCATGATTACATAATGAAAGACTCGCAACAGACCAACATAAATGTTTCTTCTTTTTTTAATGATCTTTTTCTGTCTTTAAAAAGCAACTAAAAGCCTCTTCATCATGATGACAGAGGTGGTGAAGGTTGTGATAAAGACAGTTTGATAATGTGAAAGGACGTAACCTGAGGATGACAGCTTTATTGATGCTGCTGGGTACAATTCATCACTGGGACACACAAACATATACCCACATCTCGTGTTTGCTTTTACCCCTTTTATATGCTGCTCATGTTCTCAGCTTCACAGTACATGTACACTAGGAAAAGGGGCTGGGTGAGTGAGAAAGAAAGCGACACAATGACAAGAAGAAGGGAGGGGTGCAGGGAAACAAGAGAGGAAGGGAGGAAAAGAGAGGAGTGAGTGGAAGTGCTCATTAATAAGAATTTAAAGGATGTGAAGAGCGGACAGAAAGCAAAACAGCCAGCATCCGCAGGGCTGAGGGAGGGAGAAGCTGATGTGAAGGAAAGACATGGATGGGAGAGGGGAAGAGAGTAAGAAAAGGAGGTGAGAGTTGGACAGTTGAGAGGCATCATCTCCGGTTAAACTGTGCTGATATTGATCCACGAAAGCCAGGTGGTTCGTCTCCTGGAGCCACAGAAAAAGAAGAAAGAGAGGAAGAAGAGAAAAACGAAGATTGCTCTGTTCTGCTTCTTTACCGCCGACCGGCAAATGAAGAGTGTGTGTGTGAGAGCACTCCAGCTGAGCAGCATAACACTCACATCACACGCAAGATGAGCACATTCAGTGTGCAAGAGAGTCGCCGCTGCCAGGGAACAACCTCCGCTACTTTCAGCAGATGCCAGTTGTTGAGTTGAGATTTATCAACAGTGTTTATGTCAGCCAGAGGCAGCATTTGAAAGCAGGTGAATCACTCAGGTAGTGGGTTTGCTGTTGCTGTACATCTGTGCTTAGAGACAGGCGGTTTAAAGAAGCGCCATCAAAGAGTACCCGAGGATATTTGAGAGTTTGTAAGCTTGTGTTGAAATCGGGAAATCAAAAAGAAGAAGATTGAAAGGAAAGTCATCGTACAACACCACCCAGAAACGAGTACCGTATCTCGGAGAAATCGAGATCCCCAGAACCCGGGAGTCATGCTGTGGATTAGGGGATGAGTCCGGAAGAGGAGCCAGGGAGGGATGAGGTTGTGGAGGGTGAGAGGGCAACAATGGGACACCCCTGCCCTTTGCCACATCTGGCTGCCTCCCTCCTCCCTGCTGCTGTCTCCCGGTGAGCATGCAGGTCCTTCAGATCGTCAAGGAGCTGGTGTCGCCGTCCAGACGCAGGGCAGCGGCAAGATTTGGAGGTGTGTGTATTTACAGTACAAGCCATTTGTCCATGTAACGACCCATTACGCTGCTTTCATAGTCACTGATTGTATGACTAAACCTCACACAGTCATCTGCAAAATCAAACTAAATCTTTTGGGAAAAGCTCAATGTGAGGAACAGGTTCATAGGATTCATGAGTCTTGTGAATGTTTGCAGTAGGGTTACACCAATTGAGCCTTTCATTAAAACTGGTTATTGGCCAGCTATTCAGTCTTTGCGCGTGACAATGAATGTATGCTGTTGTACTGTCCATGAGTGGCGTTCTGTTAAATAAAAAATGAAAGCTGCCTCGCCTTGCTGTCAGGAGCTGTTAATTGTCCTGTAACGTCTTCATTAGAGCGTTGCTGTCACAAAACAGTCAAAACTCTGAATCCAAGGCTCCTAAAGGTTTCAGAAAACTCAAAAATAGGGCTGTTTTTATATGCACAATCTTCTATCCCAACATATGTCATTTCATATAGCGATACAGTATATATCCCCATACCATATTTTCTGGTAATTCAATAAATACATGTTGAATTAACCACACAGATTCTAAAACCTATTTTCATTTACCAATGAGGAACTTTAGTAGGTTATAGAGAAATCATCATCACTAAATACATCCCTTTTTGTCAGATACTGAGTGATAATTTTAAGACTATAGTTGTAATAGTGGAGGTGAAAATAATTATAGGGTGTTGGCACGCAAGAGTTGACCATTAAAGCTGAATGAAACTAACCCAGGAAAGTGCTGTTGGAAAAAAATACTCACAATTTATTTTATCCACAATTTGGTTCGAAGTGGACCCTTTGCACATTAGTCTACACTATAAAAGACAATACCCTGTCCTGCTGGTTATTATCAATTTAACTGACGTAATTGTGTATCAAAAAATCTCAATATACGATTTCATCCATTATTCCCAATCCCCATTTGCTTACAAACTCTTAACGTTTAAAGGCAAGTTTCCACCCAATCCTCATGGGTATAACAGCACACACTGGAATACAGTCTCTTCTCAAAAGCATTGATAGAATTACAGTCTGTGACAGAAGTGTGATGAGTTAAAAAAAGAGAGCCTGAGGGAAAAGTCTGTTTTGACAGAGATCTAGCAGCCAAACTAGACTGACCTGTTAGGAAACCATCCACATTAGTTTTTGTCGCAAATAAACAACTGCAAAAACACTTTTGCGGTCAAATTTGCTAAACATTTGGACTGAATGTACCTTAAGCTTTGTCTCTGATTTAAGTATCAAGTCCACAGATTTCAATCGGTATCATCTGAACACAACATTATAATTTGGTTATTTGCTAACTTTTTTTGGTGTTGTGACGAAAGCATCAATGTAACTAAACGCAAACGCTCGTTCATAGAAACCAGCTGAGAGCTTTTTGTATGTTTCATACGTTCAGTGACATTATGCGCAGTATTTTCAAAACATGCTTGTTTTCACTGAAATATGTAACGGCACATCTCCTGTTTCACACGAGCACAGTTGGCTGTTAAAGTCAGGCACTCACGGCCAATGTTGCAGGAGACACGTGTGATTCTTGATTTCTTGGCATCGAAATGGTCTTCTTTAGTAATACATTTGAACTTGATGTGGATGAGGTTAAACTTCTCTCTGTGCCTGTGTGGAGTTTGACTGAATGGAAGTCACCACTGTAATAGCTCTGGTGCTGTGGGACACGAGTGTTCTTTATATGTGTGTGTGTGTGTGTGTGTGTCCTGTAGTTGCATCTCTCTGGTGTGCAATGAATAATGAAGCATGATGCCCGGGGTAATGGAACACTGTGTGACCCCTGACCCGTCGTCCTGTCTCCTGATTCGATCAGCTTCTGTACAAATCGCCGAAATCTGTGTCTGATACTCCACAACTGAAGTGCTTTTTTTATTGTATTATTTTATTGTTCTATCCCAAGTTTTTTTCTGAGCTTTTTTCCCCTACAGGAGAGAAAAAGCCACAGCTTGTTGACTTCTTGCCTCAGTGCTCTTCAAATAAAAAAGTAGCCACTGTATTTCCAGACGGGTGATTTGCATATATTTAATGAGGGTTTGATGGGCAGGTATATTGGTGCTTCCTGCAGGTTTCCTCTAAAATGTGTTGTAATTAGGACACTGATGATCATTTGTCATAGTTTTCCCAAGCACTTTCAATCTTTAGTCCTATTGCCAGTACGTAGTTACATACTTATTATGACATTATGTGAATGGCTGTGCATATTGGATACAAATACATTTTAATTTTCTTGATTTCTCCTGAGCAGTGTGGACATATTTTTGTAGGCTGACCTGGAACTAAGCATCTCAAGGGCTCATCTGACAAAAAAAGCAATTGGATATTTCTTAGGAATATTGCTTAAAATAAGATTGGTGGCAAACACATTTATGATACTTAAATGTTGAATTCAGTGGGATAATTTCAACATATTACCACCACTTCTATGCTTTTTGAAGCTTATATGTAATATCCAGAAGTAAAAATGTTATGTTCGGCAATAAAATAACTACATAACATGACCGCGTAACTAAGCTAAATGGGGACTTGTATAGCATAATGACGTTCAGTAGTCTAATTTATTCACTTTTTAGCATCAGCGTTTTAAGACACTTAAAAGCTTCGGACATTCACCAGTGGGGCTAGCATATTTTATGTCTTAAAACAAATCTTGAAAACTTCTACAGCTTGTGTTAACCACAGACCTTATATCAAGCATTTAACCAGAGACACGTTCAAAACGGTTTTAGGACTCATTCCTGCACCCCTCTATTGGCCTAACAACCTGAAAAAAGTAATATATTCCATTAGTCACAGTCAAAGTATGTTAGTTTTATAAAGCAATTATTCCGGTGTAATTAAGCAATCCATTACCTTCTGAAGTCAAAGCATGTATGTGATGATATAGACACCAGTGTCAAAAGCTGAATAGACCTCCAACACACATTTTTCCACCTGACAAACACCTTTTTCAAAGTGTTTATTCAGGTAGAAAAGTGCCTGTTGTCTACTGCCAGCTGGCTTTGATAACAGCTTTAATTTATCACGAACCCCAACACTGCACTCATGGAGGACCAATTAAACATCACAGGCTTGCATTCCTTTGGGAAGTCAATTTTCAGGGTAGAAATTATTTTTGTCCTGAATCGTTGCTTTTGAATCATAGATTTGGGCAGCTGCAGACGTTTTTTTCCTTGTGAACTTTTTTTGAAAAAGGTCAGATATGTCTTACACCAGGGGCCAGTAGTCACTTAGCTTAATGCTTCAGCTAAAGAACAACCTCTGAACTGATAAGCAGAAACTATTCAGTGGTTAATGGATTCAGCTCCAGCAGAGTCACAGGGTGTTTCTCAATGTCGAGGACGCTTCCTTGGTAGGACATGTCTTCCGAGTCAGGTCCTTCAGAAGCGAGGCAAGAATCCTTCCTAGCCTCTGAAAACAAAGAATGGTGGAACAGGCTAACAGGTGTGCAGGTGTGCGTCATATGCGAGGCCCCGCCTTAAATGGAGCGTGATTTCCGCCAAAGATTTTGGAAATTGGTCCGTGCGCAAAGCATTGTGGGGATTTTAAGACCGCGGAGGATACACGTGCAGCCTCAAAAATTCCCGCAACGAAGGACGCCGGCCTCGGTAGAATTCCAAGGATCCTGGACATTGGAACAGTCCTTCGGCGGGACTCGATGACGTAGCATCCTTGAAATAGTGGCTCTGGAGGAGCCTTCCTCGACATTGAGAAACACCCACAGTCTCTCAGGGCTGATACGCCGTGTTTTATACAATTGTGAAAATTAAATCAGCGCTATAGGGTTGGCATAAATTGGGCTCCCTCCATTGGCTATGACACACTGTTACGCTATTGATCCATTTGAATCACATAAACGCATTCAGTTGTCTTTGTGTTCTTGCTCAGAGACTACTACAGGATGTAAATCGAAACCCTGCACGTGAACATGCCGTTCATTTTGCTGTTATTACAATTGTTTTTGACTAAATCTTAGGTTGCAAAAATGTGGGCTACTGTAGGATATTTGGAAGCATGGCCAACACTCTGAGTGAGTTTTGTTTCCCTGTTTCATCGAATCTTATGGTTACAAATTGTAAGATGTTATCATTTATTCCCCTCATTATAACATAGAATATGAGTAGATCATACGCCAGATAATTTGCAATGAAAACACATGGTTGTGATAAGTATACATGACTGAGTTTGGATTTATTTATATTTTATATTTATATTTAAACATCTGTATGATTTCAAGAGCCATAGCAAGTGTAAAATAAAGAAGAAATGATCCTCAGAAAGTGAATGGAGGAATAATAAATGTAAGAAACATGCTACCCAAAACAAACTACAGTGCAAAGGCTTGTTGGCACTGGTCCTGTTTGTTTACAGTAACTCTGCCACTAAATTCATGATGTATTTATTGATTATTTTTTAACATGAACCGACCTGTACTTAGCCTCCAAACTGTGTGTGTGTGTGTGTGTGTGGCTCAATGGCAAATGTGTGTAAGGCTCAATGGTGAGTGTGTGCAAGTCATTGTGAGGCAGGTAAGAGTTTGTAATCAGCTCTAAAAGCACACACACTTAAACAGAGAGAGTGTTTCAGAGATTTGGGCAGCTTTATCGACTGCCTGGGAAGAATTCGCACTTTCCATTTGGCTCTCGTCTTTATCTCCGTCCATCAGGAATTCACCTTGGCTCTTTCTCTCGGCGAGGATCAATGCAGGCAGATTTAGAGATGGCCTCCAACAGATACAGCTCACACACACACACACACACATTGCTGTGCTGAGGTGTGATGAGAAGGTGCAGGAGGCGAGCATATGATGTTGGTGTGAGCCGTATGATTGTTTTGTTTTATTTGTATTGTTTTATTGTTCTGTCTTTTAAAACATTTTTATTTAAGTATTCCAGTAATGTATGTTGCATGTTTTAAATTGATTTTATTTACTTGTTTAAATGAAATGGGTTTTAGGTTGACTTTTAAAATC